GATTTCGCCACACCCTCGATCGTTACTCGAGCGTATCGCTTGCCATCTAAGTAAGCGGCTTTTTTACTGTACCCTTTGAAGACCGTTTCCCTGAAGTAAGTTATTATCCTTCAGACAATAATGGTGTTATTCATGGTATACAAATTTACTGTGTTTTCTATAAAAGTTAAACATTTTTTGGCTACTTACATTATTAAAGATATGTAACGGTATCAATTTAATATGAGAAAAAACTATGTACTTTTAAAATCCTACAGCCTTTGTATGAGAGAGAGAGGGGATTTGATTTTGAGAGAATAAATATAATTTAAACGCGGTATTAATAAATATCTATCTAATTTAATTGTGTATTAATTTTAGAGTTTTATATTTTTCCTTTATTTATTTTAAAGATATCGTTGGGAAAGCTCCATATATTTAAATGTTCTTGGTTAATCAATCATTAAAATGAAACTGGAAATATTTGGAGGCCAAAAGATTTTATATTGTAGGTCGTTTGGTGTTGTAGAGTTTCTAAACTTCCACCTGAAATATATCTTGTGTATGTGCTCAGTTACTAAACAGGTAATTAAATCTCTTTTTGCTGAGCGGCTCGTACTCCCTTGCTGGACAGTTTTAGGATTCCGCTGAGTTTGATCCTGGTGTGCTGAACAGTTTTCAGTAGTTCCTCTTTATCTTATGAAATATGGGTTATTATTCTTCTTATGGTGCCTATACGTTACAAGTGTCAGACCCCAACATGGCTACTTTCACTTTGTTCATTGCTTATTTCGGTAGTGGTTAAGATAAACAATTTTTGTAGGTTATGAAGCTAGTATATTCTTTTTCTTTCTGAAGTATTCCCCGAATTATGTCGAATCGTTGTGTATTACACAATATATCGTCAAGGTATTCTAGTTTGCGACGTTTTACGTTATTACTAGTACGCGCTCTTTACCCATTGTGTGCACAATTTCTTCGTTGCTAACTTTCTCTATCCTGAAAAATTGCTGCGTCTACAGCACCACATTTTAAATGTTGCAAGTCTCTTAGTGATGCTTCAGTTAAGGTCCATGACTCTACTCTATATAGAAGAACACTGATTGTACAAAGTTTATAAAAATAGTTGGGCTAACTTATATCACACATTTAAAATATAATATCTACAAAGATTAACATAACGTATGGTTATCTTTTTCTTATTGATTTTATTTTCATAAAATAACTAACTACTTCATAACTATTGTTATGAAAATATTAAAGTAAAAATTCCTTGTTTACTGTTAAAACCGAACGAAAATAAAAAATCTTTGCAATAACATCATCATCATCATTTTGGCTTTATAACCCTGTGTGGGTCCTAGCCTCCCCAAGAATTTTTTTCCAGTCGTCCCTATCGATCGCCTTCCTCCGCCAAGTACATAGGTCTATCAAGGGGTGATTTTCTAGCTGGGTCGGTTTGCTCCATCCGCATTACATGGCCTACCCACCTCAGACGTCTTATCTTAATGCGTTTTACGATATCTAGTTCCTGGTATAGTCTATAGAGTTCGAAGTTGTATCGTCTTCTCCAGACACTATTTTCCGCTCCATAGATTCGCCTTAGTATTTTTCATGTTTCCATTGCTTTTTGTTAAAGTCCACGTTTCTGAACCATATATTAGGACTGGGTGTATTATTGTTTTGTGGAGTTTTACTTTTGTATTTCTTGCTATAACTATAGATTTAAAAAGGAGATTAAGCCCAAAATAGCATCTATTAGCTGCGCAAATTCTGCGGTTTATCTCTGCGGTTGTGTCATTTTCAGTATTGACGAGCGTTCCCAGGTATACAAATTCGTTCGTTATTGCAATAACATCAACAGCAGAAAATCATTTAGTAGGGTGATGGCAATTTGAAACGACTGGATACAGGAGAACTTAAGGTAAAAGTAAAGAAAAGAGTAAAAAGAAGATGTTGGAAGAGTGGCAGGGGACTTTGACCACGAGAGCGACTAGACTTGAGAATGAACAGAAGAAAATCAATAAGGGAAGAAAGCCGGTTCCGGAACGCTCGGTTGATTATCAAATTCGTGAAATCGAGCTCAAACCAATACCTGCTTCGCTTGGCGATGCTGCAAAATGCTAAGGAACTTCTACACTTCGGTAAAGTGGCAGATTTCCACAGACAAAGACCGTCAATAATGAGTGTGACGCGAATTTCTTTGTTTATTTATTTAGATATTTTGAAAATTTTAAGGTTCTTAGAATTTTCAGTTGGACGATTGATGTGTACATAAAAGAAATATGCTCAAAATCAAATAAACTGGTGTATGAATTTTAAAAGTTTTATGTAGAAATAAAACGTATTTCTAAATGCATGTAAAAAAATTAAATAATTTATTTTTTAACTGCTTAAGCAACTTCCTCGTTTGTTATTTTCGTGACGATTGCTGTTAGTATCTCCAATATCTCAACTTTTTGGCAAATTCTTTATTTATTAAACTGTTCATTTCCTTTTTCCATCACATCGCTCTTTGATACATTTTTTGTGAACTACTATCTCAATATTTTTAACTCAGATACATCTAATCTAAATAAAATCTGTTGCTTTATTTGCTCTATGTTTGACTATTTTATATCTTTGATCTACCTTCCCTAGTTTCAAATTGATCGTATAGATTTTATAGGCTTCTTTAACTATAGCTCTTCTGCATTAGCTTTTATTACTTCTTTTCCTCTTTAGCGACCTTATACTCTTTAAGATAACTGTCCGTTATTTTTCTGGCCACTGTTTATATAATTTTTTATTTTCTTAAACTACATTTAACCACGACCGGGTCTCTTGATTCTCAAAATACTTTTATTAATACTGATATTTCTCTATACTGTATTATATACCTAACAGAGTTTTCATCACCATTTATTCATAATAAATGGTCTGCTACTCCACGATTGACTTGATTTCTATTAAATCAACAGTATCTATTTCCAAAATAATGAAGAAAATTCTTTTTTAAGTTCTTAGGTTTAAGTAACCTTTTAAAGTTACTTTTTTGAAGGCTGCAATAATTAATAGCTAATTTCTTTAGAGCTTAGAATGAAAATTCTATACGGTTTGCTTATATCATCTACTTTGGTAATATTATTTAATAATCTCATGCTTTCTGCCGCACTTTATTTCAACTGGCTAAGCAGTGTAATTAACTAACATATTTATTTTATTGCAAACTGTATACGACGACGCCGGCGCCACACAAAATTATCTTTCGTTTTATCTTCAAAAGAGCAATCTCAATTTCAATTTATTTTTGTTTTGTTGTGCTTGCTGTTATATTACGACGAAGTTATAGTTTTCTTCTACGGTTGTTCTAAGAAAATGTTCGAAATTGTTGTTCTAAATGATATTTATAAAAAATACAAGGATTGATATACATACATACATTAAGACGTTGAGTTGTTGTTGAGAGTTGAGACGCGTTGTTAATATAATCGTTTTCTGGACAAATTTGCAATAGTCAAAATTATTATATTTAATTTTTTTTACATGCATTTAGAAATACGTTTTGTTTTTTCATAAAACTCGTAAAATTCATACACTAGTTTATTTGATTCTGAGCATATTTCTTTTATGTACATCAATCGTCCATCTAAAAATTCTAATAACCTTAAAATTTTCAAAATATCTAAATAAATAAACAAAGAAATTCGCGTCACACTCATTATTGACGGTCTTTGTCTGTGCAAATCTGCCACTTTACCGAAGTGTAGGAGTTCCTTAGCATTTTGCAGCATCGCCAAGCGAAGCGGATATTGGTTTGAGCTCGATTTCACGAATCTGAGAATCAGCCGAGCGTTCCGGAACCGGCTTTCTTCTCTTATTGATTTTCTCCTGTTCATTCTCAACCCTAGTCGCTCTCGTTGTCAAAGTCCCCTGCCACCGTTCCAACGTCCTCTTTTTACTCTTTTCTTTACTTTTACCTTAAGTTTTCCTCTATCCAAAGTTAAAGGTCGTTTCAAATTGCCATCACCCTACTGAATGATTTTCTGCTGTTGATGTTATTGCAAAGATTTTTTTATTTTCGTTCGGTTTTAACAGTAAACAAGGATTTTTTAACTTATACTTTCATAACAATAGTAAGCTATTCTATGAAAATAAAATGAATAAGAAAAATATAACCATACGTTATTTTAATCTTTGTAGATATTATATTTTAAATGTGTGATATAAGTTAGCCTAACTATTTTTATAAACTTTGTACAATCAGTGTTCTAAAATTTAAAAGAAAAAATGAAAATATGACCCTTAAAGTGATTTATTTGTGTACGGGCTTAGTCAAACGAAAAGTGAAAACGTCTATATAGATTTTTTTTTTATTTTGTAAATTATTTTTATTTATAAGACAAAAGAGAAATGTGTGTCTACGGGGCCATCTATTAAATTAACTTTAGTAGTCACTAATCAAGCCAATGGATCATTTAATCTACCAATTTTTAATTACTTTTTGCCTTTTGCTTGCCATCTACCTCATAATTTAGTCTAGTCAGTACCTAGATAAATCATATAACTAAAAAACTTGAGAATGTTTTTGGACAGTCTGATATATGAATTTCATTTAATACTTATACAAACCCTGATTGTTGATCCGTGAACAAAAAAATAGTCTGGTCAATTTGTTTTACCCAAAACAAAAACTCTAAAAAAACTTTGGAACAACCTAACCATAACTTAGTTGTTTATTTATAATTAAACTCGACTTTCAGTCCTAGTTTTTTTTAAGCCCATTTGTATTACTCTACTAACACCTCTCCCAAGCAATCTCCATTGAAAATATTCATCATCATCAAAGCAGATCAATCTGGTTAGATTATGGCAATGTCAACAGTCTTCTTTATTTGATTTTTCATATTTCTTCAGCAGTCTTTACAGCAACAGTTATGCATTTTTAATCGTTTTTATTTTTACATTTTTGTTCTCTAATCATTCTCGCTTATCTGGTTTCACAATTTTTTTTATGATCTTAATCTATTTTTTTATTTTAGTGGACCCTAACTCCTGACGCTTTTATTATCTTAAAATCTATTATCCTCATTATATGTCCTACATTTTCTAGACGCCTTGCTTTTATCTATCTTTATGTATTTTACTACTGTTTCACATTTAAGATATTTATCGCTTTGTATTTTTATTTCTTGTTATTATTTTACATCCTAAGATTGATCCCAATCTTTTCCGTTCTAATATTGTTAGATCTTTTTTATCTTTTTTCATTAGTTGCGTCGTATTCATTGATAAGTGATTACTAGTCTAATAATTAATGTCTATTAAATTCCAATTTATGTTTGTGATCTAATATTGTTGGTTTTCAATATAATATATGATAGTTGTTTGTTCCTTTCAAAAGTTAGATTGTTATATCTTTTTTATCCTTTTTTGTTAGTTACGTGGTATTCATTGGTAGAGATTATTGGTCTAATTAATGTTTTGTAAATTCCAATTTTATTTGTGGGCTAACATTTTTAATATAGTTTGTTGTTCCTTTCAAAAGCTTGATAACCCTTAAGTTCTCTCATGAATTCTATCCTTACCATTTTTCCCTCTTGGCACTGCTATGTAATGAAGTTAGCTATTTCATTATATTTGTTATTTTAATTTTTTTAGTATTCCCTGTCCGATCTGCTACGTCAATCTCTTGTACCTATTTGGTTTTTCATTCGCTTATTACCAATTTCAATTTTCTTGATTAAATATCTAGCGTGGCAATGCTGTGTTATTAGGTCATCTGCATCTGTAGTTATTTAATTTTTACCTGAATCTTATTTCGTTTTAGGAGTTCAGTAAGGACATTTTGTATAACTAATATTTTCCTGATATACTTTGGGATCTTATTTTCTTCAATATATATAATTATATAATTATATAATTTTAGATCTAAATATTATGTTAAAAACGATTTTAAGTTAATAAAATTCCTTCCATTCTATTTAACTCCTTTTTTGTGGATTGGTGTAATTATTCCAGTCGTTAATTTTTTAGACATTATTTGTTTCCTGTCCTATATTTGTTTCATTAGTTTCTGTATTTGTTCATGTAAATCCTTACCAACATATTGTATCAGTTCTGCTTCTATTTTATTTAATTATTTAGCTTTATTACTATTTCTTACTTTATTTATTTTTTTTTTGTGTTTCCATTTTGGTTAGAGACCTTACGTTTGATTTAGACTTCTCTTATTCTTCTACTGCTTCCTTAACTTTATGATTTATTTTAGTTTTTTATATTGTTGGATTAGATTTTTGGTGTATTACTTCCAGTTTTTGCTTTTAGCATGGTATTATGCTTAAGTACTCCTTTATTTTTATACCTTTTTTAGATGTACCTTTATGAACAAATGATCTTATATTCTTTTCAATATGTTTGAATTTGTGAGTATGTACATCTTGCCTTATTTCTTTTAATTTTAGCCAGTCGTTTTTGTTTTAACTGTTTTAGTTTTTTAAATTTTTCTTACTTTTCACTTCTTTACAAAACCATTATTTGTTATTTTCGAATTATGTTTTCTATTGAGAACTTATTCTGTTATGTCTGTTATTACGAAAATTCATTTTAAACCCGAAAATATTCATGTTTTTTATTATTATTATACAAATGTCAAAAATATGTTAAGAGTTAAAATGATAGCTTTAACGATTACGTATTCTCTAGTACAGATAAGGAGAAACGAACAACAACGATAAACAGTCCAAAATGAACGCATGTTTAAATAAATAATTTCTTCATGTACAAGAAGGGAATTAAATCACAATATTAGTGCATCAATTCACGAATTGAATAGTGCCACCCTCGATGGAATAAGCAATTACGTTCAGTTGGATGCCTCTTTCCTTTTAGCGACATACGGGACTGTGATGCACATATTGTAACATGTGTATTGAGATGTACCGATAGCGTTAAGTAGTCCATCATTCGTTTTGAGATGAAATGTTTGTTTTAGCAGTTGCAACCCCTCTGATTTTAAAATATGAAACACAAGATCATTAATCACTTCCGATTTAAATGTTATTTAATATAGATCGTATTTTAGAAACAGTATAAAAATATGTTTAATAAAAAATATATCAAGTAATCTTTTAAAGGTATTCCAATTATACAAGTAGTAGGATGCTACACACATACAAAAAATAGGAACTATAGGATTGAAACCATTCTCGACCATTCATTAACATTTTCTAATTTTTGCCTGCTGTCAGATAGGTACGCAATGTCCATTTTCTGCCGTCTTTCTACTCTTGTGGTATATAATCCATTTTCTATTTTTGCGGTCGTAAATTTTGACGAAAGTGGTTGTTCATTCAGCACTTATATCCAAAAGATATATTAAATCTGGTATTCTTTTTGATTCTTAATAAACTCACCATATTTTCATAAAAGCCATATTCGGCCCAAAAATCCCTACCGCTATTTAAGAAAAAATCGTGAAGCGATAGAAATTCAATTGCACCCCGATAATATAAACAAAATACAGAACGTACGCCAATAGATACCCGATGCGTCGTAACAGCAATCTCCACTCGGCGTCGACGACCTGACCGTTTTAAAATGTCGTTTTATCCTGAAGAATATGTATGTCATTTTATAGAAACGTTTATATGGGCCGTGACAGTCGTCCTGACAGAATTTACCTCTATTTCCTTCTTTCTCACATTAGTCAATGTCAACCTACTTTCTAAAAGGATATTATGAATCTTTCGATAATAGGGAATAGTATGATAATAATATTATGGTATTTAAAATTCAATAACTACTACGTTTACTATGTTTTTGTGATTATGTGAACTTGTTTAATTATTTTGTTATTAGGTATATTTAAAACAATTTGTCTCAGTGTATTTTAGATAATTTGCAGTTAATTCATACACATCTCAATTTCATTGTTACCGACTTCACGCCCACGATTAACTTAGACAGTTATATGATCTTATCGGCTTTAAAGACTAATAGAAGTAGAAGTGGCAACCCTAAGTGTATCTGTATGTGTGGGGCTGCGGCGGTATCTTTAAGCACATTATCCCACCGACTGAGTACCAAACGTAACCCCTCTCGCCAGATGCCTTGCATTGTATGCAATTACTTACGTCCCATTGCTCTATTCCTGCTCTTCGAGCGTCTGTTTTCGGTTTTACCCTCGGGAGCATTGCGAGTTCATGTTTTAGCAAAGATTGGTGGGTGATATTTATTGTATGTTGTCAAATTTTGTCATAATCGCATTATCAGAAAAAATGATGATATTGGTGTTGGTATTTATCTGGCTCTACTCGTATAACTGAATACAGAGTATTGACAATGATATACATAATTTTAACTGAAACCTTAGGCACATTTGTTAAGTATTGGTCTAGTCCTAAATATTACTAATTATATAAATGAATAACCTTGTCCACATCCGTGTTTGTTGGATATAAACGTCATAATCAAAATCGTTGCTGATCTTTAAAATTAAAACAGTATCTATTCTAAAATCAATATAAAAATTTTTTCATTTCGTTTTTTCGATCTGATCAACAAGAGTATAGGAAAAATATTAAAATAAAAATATCAGGCCTCATTATTTTAAGATGTTTAAGTAAATGATATAAATCAACTAGGACACTATAGTAGAGAAATGAAACCATAAATCTATTTGAAAAGTATTGTCTCGTGGGTTTGTTCAAAAAACACTGTGATTCGAGATCAAAACGTATATATATATATATATATATATATATATATATATATATATATATATATATATATATATATATATATATATATATAATGGCTATACACCCCAGTGTGGGGTTAAACCGCAAATGCTTTCTAGATCCTATATCTTAAGTTGATCAGTTTTTTTGTTTATTTTATCTTCTTGACAATATCTCTCCATTTTTTCCTGTCTCTAGTTCTTCCTCTCCATTCTCTGACTCCTGCCCTTTGGAGGTCTTCTTCAACTTCTTGCAGCCACTTTCATCTCGGTCTTCCCCTTCTCTTTCTTCCTCCTGGATTCTATTATATCATTGCGTATGTCACTGCCTCATCGCCTGCTCGCTAAATGTGACCTAACCATCTAACTCTTCATTGCTTTATTTTAGTTACTATGTCTTTCTTAAGTTCTTCCTTAATTTCTGGATTTGTTGTCTTTCTATATTCATTTTGCTTTGTTCTGATTGGTCCCAGTATGGTTCTACTAATCTTTCTCTCTGCTATTCTTAAGTCTTCTTCATCTTTTTTAAACATCGTTATTGTTTCTCCTGCATATAATAATATTGGTCTAATTATGGTGTTATAAATGCTCATCTTACTTTTTTTAGTTGGTGTTTTGCTTTTAAGTAATCTTTTGTTTGCAAAATAAGATCAAAACGTATGCTCAATTAAAACTTTTTAACCTAACACTTCATGATGAAGTGTTAAGTTGACGTCGGTCAACGTTGATGAAGGTCAACTTAACATTTCATCATCTTCAATATACTTGAAGACCAACCAATGCCATGGCGGGTCCTTTATGTACCAATCACCTAATCTGGAATATTCTTGTATCTTCAAAAAGCTTCTATAGTTGTCTTACTATATCAAGATTTTGTGGTCCATTTTAAGGTTTTAGTTAAGCTGTCTGATTAAACACCTAATATTAAATGTCACTGTTTAGTTACTTAGTAAACTGAGTAGTTTAAGGGCAATCGTTTATATATATATATATATATATATATATATATATATATATATATATATATATATATATATATATATATATATATAAGCAATTTTGACATCTGTAACTTATGGGTTCTTTACTGATTACTACAAGATTAAAATAGCATAGAGTTTAGTGAATCCCCCTGTTTTATTCCATTGCTCGTATCTATAACTGCCCTAAATTGTCTATCTATTCTGACTTCGATCTGGTTGTTTGGATTAATGTTTTCAATTGTTTGAATGATGCGTTGCTTCTGTAAAACAAAACCTAATTAAATATGGTATGAAGACAGATATCGACGTAGTCTGTAAATGCGGAAAAT